AGTTTTTTGTAAAACTTTTCTGAAAGCATTTTGGGGATATTCAAATCTAACAGACTGCTGTACATGTAGAGGAAAGGTTAGTGCTCTGAGAAAGCAATAATAATGTGGATAGTGTGAAGAGATTCTGGATACCCTTCTAGCATAGTTCTGATCATTTTGCAAAATAGCATAAAACCTCCTGCCCTGTCCACAGAGAAAGGGACAGCTGGCAGAGCACAAAGAGGACACCACAGTGGATGTCCTCTCATGCAGTCTGCTGTGTTTTCTCTCCACGTTCATCAGTAAGACCAGGCAAGGAAGCCTGGGACTGGGCTGTCCTGGACATAGCAGGGGCAGCAGATGCTCCTGGGGCCAGTTACAACTCCCTCTCCTCCCCTCTGGGGACATTAAGGGGATAACTTCTTTCAATGGGAGGACATAAAGCTTAAGAGACAGCAGGGTCTCTTCAATCAAAAGGTTCTGATCCTTCTTATAGGGTCCACTGAGCTCTGTACCCAGAACAACCACTTTTTGAAAACGAACCTGCAACTTCAACTTCTTTAGCACCAAGTCTCATCAACTGAGCTATTTGATTAGTGTTCAAAATATACAAATCCTTACTTTTAAAGACCAATATTGTTTTTTAAAAAAATAAAGCTAAAATTTGAAATGAATTGAGTCTCTACCTAGAATGTTCTATTTTCAATAACTGAGAAGGCACTAAGGAACAGCTTTTTTTTTTTTTTTCCCCAGGATGTGTGGGACTAAAAATCTATTCTGAATGAACAAGTTTATTCTTAGTTGTGCGTAATTTCCCAAAATGAAGAAACAACTTCTGTTGCATGGTCAATAGCCACAAGACCAGTTATGCCAGCAGGCCTTCCTATAGACACTAAAGTATCTATATTCTTGCCTGCAGAATGTAAAGAGTAACTTTGAGGAAGAGAAGATAAACTGCCCTTAGGTAAAAGTGGAGATGTGATTGGGTCCCACCCCAGGTTCTGCACACCATAACAATCTGAGCTTTGGACCATGGGCAAAGATAGGCAGCAAGCCAGTTTATTCCGGTTCTTAGACAATGTTCAAAACCTGAAGGGTATGGCTGGTGAAAGCAGGCCTGTCTTGCATTCTACTGCTGAGTGACCAGGGCCAAAGAAGCAGGCATAGGTCTTGGGCAGCTGTGGAGGGAGCTTTACCTCCATTTCCTCTCTGTGGTAGGTCAGAAAGACCTAAGTGCTCTGTCACATACTGATCATCAGCTTAGACCCTGGAGTCTGAATCATGAGAGATCTCAATGGTCCAACTCAGAACCAGGAGATCTGGCCTAGCCTCAGATGGAGGGGAGTAAGACTGGGTTGAAAATTCAAAAATAAGAACAGATTTCAGTTCTTAGATTAGCCATGGAATTTTCCTAGTCCTTCAGTCACATAGAATCCATAGCCAAGTCAGATTTGCTAGCTGTTCTTGATCCAGAACAATAACCCAAGGACTCACATCTGAGCAGGGTTGCTGTTGAAGAGGAAATTAACCCCATGGCATTTGCTACTTTATTGGACTCCAAATACTGTAAAAAGAAAGTGGTGATGACAGCATGAGCAGATCTTTAAGGTCAGAAGACGGGGTCATATTGAATACATGTGCAGATTCAATCACTATAACTCAGTTCTTTCTTCCGTTACTAGCTTTCTCTTGCTTTCTATACCTTTTGCTCCTTTTCAGTAAAACAACTCTCCTCATGAATCTCTGCTTCCTTTAAAATGTTCCTGTATACTTTCTCCTTCATTCTTTTTGTGCACTAGAACTTTCATCAAGGGACCCAGCATGCCCACAGTTGAGAGATACGAGCATGGCGGATGTGTGCATGAGGATCGGGCAGTACAAACTGCCTGACAACTAATGATGCCTATTTAGCTTCTCTCAAAATCTGGCTACTTAAGATAGCACCAGAGATGAAAGACACTAAAGAAATGTGGGTATGTTTGGTTATTAATCAAAATGAGTAAATTAGCACAACATTAACAAAGCATTCAATTAAAACAAGTCAGTTTTAATAACAATAAGCCTCTGACAGGTGCTAGATTTAAAAAAAAAAAAAAACAACTTTGCTTATTTTTACGAGAATATATATTGGTTTATAGAAAAGAAAAAGACATTTAAAAAAATTAGTGAATAAAAGGAGACCATAGACTGAATAGCTTAGTAAAATTTTCTTAGGGTACAAAAACTTTGTATATTCTTTAACATCTGATATTATAAGTGTTACTTGCCTGTCCATTTTTAAAGCAAATGGGCTGGCCAACCTCCACTGGAAAGTACACGTTCTTGCTTTAAATATGCTGACCACTAGTCACGTGACGGTAAAGTTCCTCAGACCAGAGAGCTACTATCTTTAGGTTGACATTGTACAAATTCCTGTTCAATGGGCTGATTTTACTTTAACAGATTTCTCTTATTTTCCATTTTGTGGGCTTTTACCCATTCACAGATTTATGAACTTAGGACTCCGCCCCCCCACCAAAAAAAAAATAAGGTTATTTTCTTAAAATTTTCATAGGTTTTCGAGATTTCAAACTAAGCGATATAATTAAGCCTCCTCTCTCCTGACCCAAACAACTGAGCAGAGGAGTAAGATTTCCAGGAAAAGTAACTGGCCTTAAGCATGTCCTTATTTGGTGTTTTCATGCCCAGGAAAGCAAAAATAGGTTATAATGAACATAATGATAGAAGGTAATGAGCTCTATTAGTAAACCAACGTCTAAAGGCTCAGAGAGAAATTGTCATCATACCTTCACCGCTTTGGGAGGAGAACTTTCAGAAAGGCTGGAGGCTCTGGCATCTGGACTTAGTGACTTGGGATGGATAGGCTGCTGGACCTCATTCTTAACCTGGGAGTTACCTGCATGAGTTACAAAAGGAAGATATTTTTTAGTACCGTATGCAAAATCTCAGAGAAGCTTCCTCCCCAAAGCAAAGTTTAGGCACCTTCACTAATAACAGCTCTAACAAGAAAAAAACACTGCTTTTCTATTGAAGAATATTCTAATGCTAAAAGTCATGCTCTTAGGTTCTCTCGCAAATCAGGTTCTCAGCTAGGCGGCTTTCTCACTCTTTGCCACAAACGGCAGAAATCCAAACCACCCCTATATCAGGAATTTCCTATCCTGCAACTTTTGTCATTTTTAAAGATTGTTTGTACATTTTGATGACTTTTTGGTAGTTAGCATTTCCAATAACTCTTTCTGGGATACTTCAACTGAAGTTGGTAAAACGGGGAAATGTGAGAGCAGAAATTTCATAACGTGTGTGTGTGTATAATTTGACACCCTTTTTGGTCAGTCCTATAGCAGATATTCATGGATGGAGATTATGGAAAAAGGCTCCATAAAGTTGTTTTTTTTTCATAATCATTGATGTGTTGCCTACGTAAGTTAATTTCCTGTCAATATATTCCTCATGTGGAAAACTAAGAGGAGGCACAGAAAGTCATTTATATAGCAACTGAGAAAACATAAAAGAATTTCTTAAAATCTAGAGTTAAGTCAACAGAGTACTAAAAGATCAAGGCTTATTTTTCAAAAAAATATTTTGCAAACTTAGTCAAAACTCAGAAAAATTTTTAGTCCAAGCAAAGTGATTGCAAAAGGAATGTTCCTGGATTGAAGCAGCAAGAGTTTCTCTCTGAAGTTTTAAGGTAGAGTTTACTAGAAATGTATTTAGCTCAAATTTCTACTTTAGTTGCTGAGTTTCTCAGTGTCTAATAAACTAATTAATCGGGGAGAAAGTAGAAATCCATATAT